GAGAGAGAGAGAGAGAGAGAGAGAGAGCAGCAGCAGCAGCAGCAGCAGCATTGATGTCTTACTTGACTAGACGTCGTCATGAGATGCTTGATTTTTTAATATGATGCTCAAATGTGATAGTTTATTTGAATAGTGTAGTTCTTAAGGTTACAAAAGAAGACATCTTCGATTTGAATATGATGATGATGATGATGATGATGATGATGATGATGATGATGATATCTGAATATGATGATGCATATGTGATGATAATTCGATTTTTTGCCCTTCCATCATCCAAATACTTTGAGCATTATCTTCTCATCACTAATTTACTCCCATACGAAGCCTAAGATATTTCCAAAAGTGACAGACTTGCCTCTGACTAAAGGCTCACAGAAACACTACTACCCTAGTTCAACCCCCCCGATGCACTCGGGCTAATACATACACCGCATTAGCATGCATGTCACGACAATGCCCGTTCATAAATCTATCCATTCATATGTTGGGCCTGTTGGCCATTGAGGCAAAGTGCAACAGCTCACGGGACCCGCCCTCCGCTAACCACCAAATGCCAAAAAGCTGGTGTGTGTAACTTGCCAGTTTTACACCATCACTGGCATCACTACCTTTCAGGCTGGAGTCCCAACTGGGCCTCGCCCATGACCACAAGCTTTCCCGTTTTACACCGCATTTTTCGGGGACCAGGCCACCTTTGGGCCGCCGTTGATAAAATTCATTGGCGGCCTTCGTTGCATTACCGAAATCTGAAAAAAAAACCTCGCAGGGCCTCGGCCGCGATGTATTGTAGTAAAGGTAGTTGTCCTTTTGTGAAACTGGCAGCGCTTCGCCCCACCAGTCTCCAAAGGTAGCGAGTGGTCCTTTTGTGAAACTGGCAGCACCTCGCCTGTGGCCAAACCTCGGAAAAGAAAGAAACACTCAACCCACTTCTCACATTTGGAGACTGGTGGGGTGAAGCACTCCATTCGAGCTATTATTGCAAATGCTCTCCAGCAGACACACGTGGGACAAGACTCATCCCATGCAACAACGTAGCACAGGAGAAGAACATGGGAATATTAGCACAATTTCACACATAGAACAAGAACATGCATAACATAATTATTAATTTCACACATAGGACAAGAAGATGGATAACATAGTTATTGATTTCAGACAAAGGGCGTCGCTCCGCTACTCGCCACATGCACAAAAGACAAAAAACACAGCGGTGTATCGTCTCGTCCCATGTTCTAGCGCAAGATTCATTCTCATTTTGCACATTTGGTGAGAGAGAAGTGTAGCGAGGCCCAAAGGAGAAGAACATGGATAACAATCATAACATGATTTGTGCTCACCCAAAGGAGAAGAACATGGATACCATGATGATTTTGTGCTCACTTGTTATGGTCAAACGCCAGAATCGACAAATGCTTCAAGCTGCATAGTGCTGTCCATGCTATTGTAGTGCTTGCCAACCGGTTTCTTGTCAATCTGAGTCTCTGACACAGAACATGTCAGAAGGAGGCAAACACACACATTTTAGCACTGCACTATAGTGACTATAACCACAGTCCCAGATTGATCAGAAGCAGTGGATGAAAGTTAGTCAGGAAACAACACAAGTATGATGTTCAATAAGTCTTCCACGTCTGGCGTTGCATAATTCAGGCACCAGTCGGCAGTTGGTTGGCACCCCACATAACTGCCCCCAGCGCTAGGGATTTCTCACAGGCAGAGTAGTCACGCCGATGGTAGGCACCCCGGGTTTGGTCGGGGGCGACCAGCCGACGGTTGCACTAGTCGGCACCTACCAGTCGGCGGTCAGTCCGCACCCTGCATAATCCCCCCACGACTAGGGATTTCTCACAGGCAGAGTAGTCACACAGGCACCCCTGGATTGGTCGTGGGCCGACCAACCGACAGTTCCACTGGTCGGCACCTACCAGTCGGCGGTCGGTCGGCACCCTGCATAAC